TATGTATAAGCCAAAAACCAAAGGGACAGGACTGAGGACACACCTGCAATCTAGACAACAGAAAAACTACAACTAGACTACAAATAGGCAGGAAACGGGAATTAAATAGACTTCAAAATAAAAGACATGACCAAAGAAAACAGACCAAAACCACAGCAGTATACATGCTGGCAAATATGTTTTAGATTGATATGTAGCTTCGTTAAGAAAAAATTAAATGTTGTTTTACAGTTGGGTGGACCTGCCATAATTATAAATATCAATAGGAGTTAGGTAAATAGAGATGAGGCTCATCTTGTACAATTGCTAATATTAATTGGGAAGAACCACATTCCTAAAATGAAATGTGGCTTTATAGCGATTTTCTTCAAATTATAAACGATTCCAAACTATATTGTAGTGTTATGAATATAAATGTAAAGGCAAAAAGTCTGTAATACTGTTAGTACTGTAAATTGGTACATTAAATCAGATGTCACAGGAGATGCATACTTCTGTCATTCGTCGTGTGTTTATGTTGTTTCTGTAAATAAAGAAAATAAGACTTTACCAGTTCTTTTTGTTTAAATAAAATTGTGCTGCCTTTGCAATATGCAGCTGTTTCACAAATATCAAAATACAGATTTCTCACCATTTTGACTATGAAAATGCAGTATCTTTGCCATCTCATTGTAAAATGATTAGACATTTACATTTACATTTACATTTACATTTAGTCATTTAGCAGACGCTTTTATCCAAAGCGACTTACAATTGGGGGATACATAAAGCGATTCTTCTTAAAGAGGCAAACAGACACAGGAAGTGGTTGTAATACCAAGTTCTTAGACATTGTTCAAATAAGTACAAGCTAGAAAGAGAAGGAACCGTCTGTCTCTTCTGTTGACTAATCGCTTGACCCCACAAGACATCCACATTCCCTCTTTCCTCTGCTTTTTGCTGATGTCCAGAGTTTAGTTCAAAGAGAAAAGCCTGTTTATTACGCTAGAGAGTTTCAGTGAAAGGCAGCATTACTGCCATTCAGAGCATCAAAACAGATAAAACACAGCCTCGTCTATGAGAGCTCGCTGTCTGCAAACTCACCAGTCATGAATGAAAGTCACTGTAAACAAGCAGGACACAACGGAATAAGATCATTAAAAGATCATTAAAGCAATAGCTCAGACAAAAAAATGTAATGTCCTGAAAATGTGCTCATCCTCGGGCCATCCGAGATTAGGATGAGTTTGTTTCTTCATCAGGTTTGTAGAAATGTGTCACAGCATCAGTGTCTCAGCAATGGATGCTCTGCAGTGAATGGGTGCCGTCAGAATGAGAGTCCAAACAGCTGATAAAAACATCACAATAATCCACAGCACTCCAGTCCATCAGTTAACATCTGGAGAAGACAAAAGCTGAAACATATCCAGCATTAATACGTTTTTAACTAAAATATGAGTCCATAATCCATAATAACACTTACTCTTGTGAAAAAGTTCATCTCCTGTTGTCTCTCACTTTAAAATCCAGCCACATATTTGTTTAGAGCTGTTTGGACTGTTTTGGCTTGTAAACGGTGCTTGATCTGTGCAGGTTTCCAATGGAGGATCCACTGATGTGCAAGTAATGGAATGCTACATTTCTAACAAACTCATCTAATTCATCTACATTTTCAGCATATTTTCATTTTTGAGTTAACTATTCCTTTAAAGGGGTCATATGATGTTGCTAAAAAGAACATTATTTTGTGTATTTTGTGTAATGAAATGTGTTTATGCGGTTTAAGGTTCAAAAAACACATTATTTTCCACATACTGTACATTATTGTTTCTCCTCTATGCCCTGCCTTTCTGAAACGCGTCGATTTTTACAAAGCTCATCGTTCTGAAAAAAAGAGGGGTGCTGTGATTGGCCAGCTATCCAGTGCGTTGTGATTGGCCGAATACCTCAAGCGTGTGACGGAAATGTTACGCCCCTACCATACTGTGATGATGCCGTGTCCGGCCGGAGCGATGATTCAAAAACATGAAAACCCATTATAAACGAGGCATTCGTTGCATCCAGTGGGGACATAATTACGGATTATAATGACTTATACTGTCTTTTTACG